AGGTTTAATGTTTAGTATAAAGCTTAGAAAAAATTCGCAGTGTGAGATATGCAAGAAGTAAGTAACATCAGCACGGCGAAGGGCACTCCTTTAAAGGCAAGGAAGGGCAAAAATATTTTAAGTCAAGTGATAGCGATTGCTGTATGAGTCGTATGATTTTTGAATCAAACACAGCCAACGCCGGGCCATGCTGCTAGTAACTAATATAAATTTCTCGAAATTTCATAAAATTAAATGTGGGGGTCTGGACAGATTTAAAAAATATTTTTACCTAGATTTTCTAAAAAAAAATTCAAAAATACTTTCATTTATTTGTAAATAAGTTCTAAAAATTTAATGAAAGAATTTCCAAAATTCTAAGGCCAAAAAAGACACTAATGTTTCCAATACTAACCTTTGGTTCAAAGACGCAAGAAAAACAAGATTTTTAAACAAAATTTCGAATGTTCTTGAAAGAAATATATAATTTAAAAATTAAAAAAAAATTTTACTCTAAATTAATAACATAAAGATTTCGACGATAAAACTTTGTTTTGTCAAGTTTGGGTCCTTTTTTCATCATGCTATGCTCTTTTTTCAACGAATTAATGGAGGTACCTGGGTTTAGGCTCCAAAGTTCTACACTCAGGATTGTACCAATGAGAATTCGTCTAGTCGAATAAAGCTTTGGTTTGTGAATTAAGCGACATCGGTTCAATCTCTTTGCTGGGTAGTGCAGATTTAGACAGAGTGGAAATATTAACGGTGAGATATACATGATATGTGAAAAGGGAACAGTTTATATGCTTCGATTAAATAAAGGGCTCATTTCGAAATTTGCTCAGTGTTACACGGATCAACCAGCACCTGATAAAGTTCAGAGAGGAAAATGGTCGAAACGTTGTCATGTTAACCACAAAGAAGAAGATATTTTCTTCTTCCCTTTGCTCAAGTTTATCAATTTGGTCCTCATTTCTAATATGAAATGTTACTTCAGATAGGAGACTCTAATGATTTACCGAAAAAATAGCATACTATCATGAAAAAAAAATGCCAAAGCAGAAAGACCAAATTATTTTTGGATGTTTAATTACATTTTTTACTACTTTTTAGAACATTCGAAATTTTGATTAAAAATCTTTTTTTTCTTGCGTCAGTGGATAGACTATAAATTAGCATAGCAAATGTTAGCATCTTTTTTTTTGCGTTGACAGACATTAATTTGGAAATTCTAGCAAAAATCAAATAATTGTCGGATTTTAATGAAACTTCCAGAACTTATTCACAAATGAATGAAATTATTTGAGAAATGTGTTTTCTTTTATATAAATCTTGTTAAAAATATGTTTTACATGTGTTTCAACTCACTTCATTTTATGAAATCTCACGAGATTTAAAGGTGTGATTATCAGAGACTATATTAATTAAAAACAGAATTCTTCGGAGAATTTAAATCATTAATTCCTTTTTGCAAAATCAGACGCTTTTTTGTCTGAAATCTTCTCTGAATCGGAAAATAAAAAACACATTAAAACTAAGACATTATCTAATTAGAAAATTTTTTAATTGCTTTTATGAATAAGATATATTATGGACACTATAGTCGTCAGAAAAGAAAATTCTATGAAAAATTAATGTTTATAAAATTTGTTATCATTTTACAATTTTAATTAAAATAATTTATAAGGTTTGTAAAATTCAGTTTCAATTGTGTAATTAGGGAATTTTGTTATTAAGTAAAATTATATTTGTTAATAAATTAATAGAAAAGATTATTACATAATGTTTTTAAAATAATTTTAAATTGTCTTTTATGTGTATAAACGTGAGGATTTTTGTAGATACGGATGATCATACACGACATTATCAGAAAATAAGAGCGATAACTATAATAGATTTAAAGCCAAAAATACCTAAAATTAAAAAAAAGAATAGAAATGTAGAATATTTTGTTAAATCTTTAAGATTACAGAGTACTTAAAATTGAGTACTCATGTTAATCCAATTACCGCAATTTTTTCTTCACCTATAGCCTTGTAGAGGACAGGGGGTATTTAAGAGTTGTTGTATTAGAGACACATGCGTTTATTTCCTGCTAGAAGGCCCAACTACAAGAAAATGGCGGACTTGAATTAAGTCCAACTGAAGATGTAAAGAAAAACAAACAAGACCGATATATATATATATATATATATATATATATATATATATATATATATATATATATATATATATATGTATTTAAACAATACAATTTTACAATGGACATAGACATGAACATTTTGAGCGTGTGGGAACATTTATGTTTGTTGTTTGTTGAATGTTCGTACGTATGCGTATGTGTGTATAATGTTCATGGCGTCTCCCGCAAGTGGGAAACGCTATATTTTGCGAGAGCTCACATTGTAGAGGTGTTCGCTGAAATGAAAAAAAGAACGAGTTAAGAAGTTGCCCAGTATTTATAGTGTAGGGAGAGCGACCTCTAGTGAATAATTAAGGAATTAAGGAGGAGCTAACTCCGACAGACTTATCAAGCTGATGATCCGCTAATTTCCGCCTGTTTATATGGCCATGATGCGCCTTGTGCTTGTTACATTCTCTGAGCCTTCTTCCCTTTTTACAACTCCAAAATTATCAACTGTCTCATTTTAATTGTTAGCAACAGTTTCTTTTAAGATTTTATTCTCCTTAAAATTCCCATGGTCTTCTCAAGTATTTAATAAAGGGTGTCTCATTAAGACGGATTATATATAAGGGTGTATCATTAAAATGGATTAAAGTCAGCAGTAAATAAATCAGTGTTATTGGTAAAAAAATTATTTATTTCTCTATTGGATCATGTTATTTTAGTCATAGCAATTATGTGTGAAAAATAATATCGCCCAAACCTCTACTCGATGGTCAATTTTTTTTATGACGTCTCTGCATAGTTGCCCCTCGGTCTCAAAAATATGCCTTATTATCTCATCTCTCAGCTGTTAAATTGTTGGCTTGTTAGCATAGACCTTACTTTTGAGATGACCCCAAAGGAAGAAATCTAAAGGCGTCAAGTCGCACGATCGTGGTGACCAATTGACTTCGCTGTTTCGAGAGATGATGTGATCTGGGAACTTCTCGTTGCATTTCTGTTTGAACATCCATTTTCGTAATAGGCTTCGATAACTTTAACACGTTGTTTGATTGTTAATCTTTTCATGGTTGAAATTGCCAAAGACTTAAGTTGTTAAATCTGAAAGAAAAAAGATCACTAGACGTTTAAAATTAATTCACATTCAAAATCAGTCCAAGTTCCTGAAACAGCTTTTAGTTGGTAATATTGTTATTTGCAGGCTTTCGAAGTACTTTCTCCATAAAGAAATATGTTCTTTTTTTAATTAGGGTGGCATTAGTAAAATCGAAGTTATGGCCAGTTTTGTTCCTTTGAATTACGAAAGAGTTTGAAGGGTTGTCTAAACGCAAATCTCCTTTGTGTTCATATATACGGACTTTTAGCTCACGTAATGTCTCCCCTGTATAAAAAAAATTTCATTGTAAAAGATTTATTTCTTAAATATCGGCATTTGAATTAGTGTTAAATTTAATTTTCTTCACAATTTATATATATATATATATATATATATATATATATTTTTATGTTTTTATGTTTAACGTTCTTTTTTTTTTTATAGATACAAGTATTTAAGTAAATGCTCTGTTTATAATAAACAGTATTAAATAACATTTACCGGCCTGAATGTCCGAGAAATTTTCATAGAAAATATTCGTCCTTTGACAGGATTCGAACCTGCATCCTATACGGAACCGTCATTTACGCTGACGTGCCTTACCGTCTCAGGCCGGTAAATGTTATTGTCAATACTGTTTATTATAAACAGAGCATTTACTTAAATACTTGTATCTATAAAAAAAGAACGTTAAACATAAAAATGTCTTTAATAAATTGACGGACTTTGTCCATTTCTTAATATATATATATATATATATATATATATATATATATATATATATATATATATATATATATATATGAAATGGACAAAGACCGACAATTATTTTTAAGACATTTTTTATGTTTATACGTTGTTTTTTATGGATACAACTATTTAAATGCTCTGTTTATAATAAACAGTATTAACAACATTTACCGGACTGAATATCCGAGAAATTTTTATAGAAAATATGCGTTCATAATAGGCTTTAATAACCTTAATATGTTGTTTGATTGTTAATCCTTCCCTGGTTTTGCCAAAGACTTGTTAAATCAGAAAGAAAAAGAAAAAAAAATCATTAGACGTTTCAACTTAATCCACATTTAAAATCGGTCCAAGTTATTGGAACACCCTTTACATGAAATACTGATACTACATATCTTGTCAGGCATCTTAGAAGGCTGCAGAGGACGTAGGGTTAAAAAGAAAAACGGCAAGATTTGGTTGTTCGGCTAGATAATGAAAGCATAAATCTGATTTGTAGTCTTTTAAAAAAATTTGACTGATTATGAGACCCAGTCCAAGATTTTCACCCAGAATCAGATTCGGTCATCAAAGAATACACCATCAGGTAGACTTGAAATGTTAACTCGTAGCCCAGAGCTGCAAATCGTCGTGTCACCAGAAGCCGAACATGTAGCTCTCCACTTTTCTTCCTTAGTTAAACGTCTAAAAGATTCAGCGCACACGCTAGGCTATGAGGATCCCCTTAGTAGGCCTAGCAGAGAAATAAATACAATATGGGAGCCGATATTAAGATATATTCATTTATTCGTTTTTTACGGCTTATCGTCCCTTTGCAGGTTATTTAGAGCCGGAAAATATTTTTAGATTCTAAAAATTCTTTTTGAGATAACAATACTTTCGTGATACAGGTCTTACAAATTAACCCATAGCTGGGAGGAGGAAAGTGTGGATTCATGCCTTCCGCAAGCGTATTTGTGCGTAAGTGAATAAAACGAAACCAACTGAAATTGGAATACAACTCTCCGATTAACAATCCCTACCTATTACACCATCCGCACACCCAAGCTTACGCCACCTGATATTCCCAAGCGGTCACCCGTCTACATACTGACCGGGATCGACGTTGTTTAACTTCGCTGTTCGTATGGGAACCGGTGTTTCAACGTGAAAGATAGACAAATGACTACCAGTTTTCAACAACGGCAGTAGCAATCAAAACATGACGGGCAGCAACAGAAGTTGCAGCCCTAATCAGCAGGAAGATTAGGTTTAAGGCTCCAAGTTCACTATAGCAAATTGTTCTATGGTACAATGGCTTAGTGGATTGAAGCATTTATTCGTGAATTTGGTGACATAGCGTTTAATCTCTGGACCAGATAGTGTATACTTGGACTCAGTGTAAAACAGGGCAAGCATTAACTGAGCAGTATTAAAAAGCAGAACTAAAAGAATATATCCCTAGATATCAACAACGCATCGATAACGAGCCAAACCCATAGATTGAATAAAGGTTCAGTCCAGATCGGTACACATCTGATGAAGGCCGGAGGGAACAATTCTCGAAACGTTGTGATAACAACACCAAAAATGAGAATAATAGTCTGAATAAAAAAAGTGTAAATAATGATAAATCCTCATTCCAGAAATTCAAACAGAAGGTGATCAGGTGATAATAACAACAAAGATGAGGACAACAGTTCGAATGTAAATAGTGTAAATAATGATAACTCCTCATCCCAGAAATTGAGACAGAAGGTGATCAGGTGATAATAACAACAAAGAGAAGGATAATAGTCTGAATATAAATAGTGTGGATAATAATAATTCTTCATCCCAGAAATATAGACAGAAATTCCTTAGAATAAATGTTGATAAGGCTGGTTGTTTATCTGAGTAGCCATTTATACTACAGAAGCTTCTTAAAATTCATTTTTGCGATATTTTCCATTATCACGTTGCCTAAATAGATTTAAGAAATTTATAAATTGTACTTGTGTTATTGTGGAAATACGTGTTTTTAATAACTGGGCGAAATTACTGTGATGAATTGTACCGTAAGATTCGACCCAAAAGGGGTTAATAGTTTAAGCGTTCGAGTTATGTCCCTTGTCATCCACGAACGCACCGAGGCAAAGATTCCCGCTGGAAATGCGTGTTTATCGGCGGCCATTTTTGAGTGGGTTTCTTGCGTGTTGGCTCTCAGGGATTCCATGCTAAATTTGATTGCTTTCTAAAAGAAAAACAGAAAACATATGAGTAGATTAAAGTGGGAGGGGGGCGAGAAAAATATTGCTGAAGAGAAATTGAATGAAAGGAAAGAAAAGAAGTCGTTCGAAATGAAAAGAAAGAAAAGCTAAGTTGAACGAATGAAAGAAAAAGAGAAAAGCTGAATAAAAAGAAAGGAGGAAATAAATCACAAAGGAAGGAAGGAAGGAAGGAAGGAAGGAAGGAAGGAAGGAAGGAAGGACAAAAGAAAGAGCTAAACAAAAAATGATGGATAGGAAAACTGAATAGAAGGAAGAAAGGAAGGAAGGAAGGAAGAAAAAAGAAAGAAAGAAAGAAAGAAAGAAAGAAGGAAGGAAGGAAGGAATGAAGAAAGAAAGAAAGAAAGAAAGAAAGAAAGAAAGAAAGAAATACCTGCACTTCTCGCTTGTGGAACTCTCTTCCGGCTTCTCGCTTTCCAGTTAATGTTGATTTTTAAAGATTTAAATGAAATGTCGATCATTATCTTCTGTCGTATGAATTTATTTTCTTTTATTGCTATCTTTCTTTAATAATGTTTTCTTTTTCTCTTGCTCAGCAAACCCTTGTGTCTTAGCGGCTTTATTGTCTTGCTTGGGGTTAAATGAATAAAAGAAAGCAAGGATGAATAGATGAAAAGAAAGAACCAAAGAAACAAATGGTACATACAAAAGCTGAATAGAAAGAAAGAAAGAAAGAAAGAAAGAAAGAAAGAAAGAAAGAAGGAAGGAAGGAATGAAGAAAGAAATAAAGAAAGCAAAAAGAAAGAAAGAAAGAAAAAAAGAAAGAAAGTAAAAATGGAGAGAAAGAAAGATGAGAAAAGGGAATGCGCTGGCTAAAACGAAACAAGTGTGAATAAAAAAAACGGTATAAGCAATGAAAAAGAGAAAATGACGAAACGAAACTGACTAAAAAGAATATGTTTAAAAAGTGGGTGGTGGGGATTGCAGAACAAGAAAAGATGGCCAGTTAAGGGGGAAAATATCTCACAGTACCCAAACCAATTTAAAAAAAAAATACATTTGAATTCAAGATGAAATCGTTGATCGTAATAATCTCTCAGGCAATCAAAGTAAATTTAATGGAGAAAGAAAGACGATCATTCCGCCATATTTACTTCCTCAAACGAGAAAATGGCGTGTTTCATTTTTGCATCTCACAGTCGAAATCTTTTTCGAATGCGGAGCTGACCTTTCCGTCACTAGTCGTGTCCCTTTGTCACCTACCCACCGGTAGAAAATTCCACCCAGTGGAATACCGGGCATTCATCATTCAGTTAACTTCAAGACAGATGCAAACGGATGACCAATTCCTGCTCAGAAACAGTGGTGCATTCTGTCTTTGACTAATTGATATGGAAAGGCGAAGTTGGAATCGCAAAGATAAATAAGAAAAAAATAGATAGGAAAAGAAGGGGAATGATAAAACAAACGAAAAAAACAAACAAAGGAAATAAAACAGAAATTATATTCTTATTTAATTTCTTGTCTATTGTCCTCATCTTTGTTGTTATTATCACAAAGCTTCGGTTGTTGTATTTTCCGGTCTTCTCGTTGTTACCTTGATGGAATTTCAGAATAAACTTTTAATTTAATCTGCATGTAGAATATTCTCGACCCATTTTCTATGTCGAGAAATAACTCTCCTAGTTTCTGCTCGGCCAGTTTCCACTGAGGTTTCATTTACAATCCACGATCCACGGATTAAACACACAATATATCAGCAAATTCACGATCAGACGATTTAATCTACTAGGTTATTTTCCCGTGTCCTAAGTCTAGGAACCAGCGTATAGGCTAGGCTGTAGGCATCTTTCTATATTCCAATGGATTTATTTGCGTTCAGGGTAGTCTACGAGTTAGAGAGATAGTGGTAATAAGGCTTCGGTCGTCACTTCTTTTCTAAACATTGTTTAGTACAGCACAGAGACATAAGCTGAATAAAAGTTTAAAATCGGTTACACATCTAAATACTGCACAGGTTTCTCGATGGTTCACTTCAGAAATCAAAGCGAAGCCGATGTACAAACCCAAACAAAACACTCCATGATTATTTCCAGGTATGATTTAATCTAGTACAGAATAAAACTTAGGGTATGATTGGGGCTATTCAATTTCATAGATCGGGGTATAAAATAATCTAATTTACACTATACAACTCTAGGCTAGCTTACGTAGGGAGCTGAAAAGTTAATTGGTTGACTATCAAGGGGTGATGCTAGAGGTGTGAAATCTTGCATGCATTCATTTCAACTCTTCTTAGTAATAACTGCATCGTTCCTTTCCAGATTAACTGACATGTGAATCTTCAAAGACGGTCGAAAATGTCAACAGCAGCAAATATGACGTCATCATCACTGCGAAACCGATTCCCAGTTAAGTGTCTTTTTCATGTTGGGGAACAGATAATAGTCAAATCAGGAGAATAGGGCGGGCGATCAACCAGTTCAAAGCCATAGACACACACAGTAGCCATTGAAATCAACAGTGCTAGAATAATGTCCTGATGAAACAAATCATTTTTGGTCAATTTTCATGGATGTTTGGTCTTGATAGCGTTTGGTAACTACCTCCGCAGATTTGCCTAGTACTGTCCCTAAATGGGGTAGGTATTTTGAAGATAGTTAGTAAGCATAATGCTTTTTAATCTCCAAAACTGAGGCCATCACCTTTCCTGAAGATGAAACGACCTTGGACTTCTTCAGAGCAGGTGAATTGTCTCTTTATTTCTAGCTTAATGTGATGGATCTAACATTCATCCTAGATAATGAAACGTTCAGAGAAAGCAGCTTCAAAAAATGTCAGATTTTACCGTGTTGTGCTCAGCCTGTTGCACAATTGTTCAGGTGTCACAAGACGTGACAGCAGAAACGTTCCCGAAAAGAAGCTGGGCCAGCTTCAAAAAAGGTCACATTTTGCAGTGATGTGCTCAGATTTTCTTCACTATTGTGCAGGTGTCACAAGATGTGCCAACTGAAACGTTACAGAAAACCACCTGGGTCTGCTTCAAACAAGGTCAGATATTGCCGTGATGTGCTCAGGCTGTTGCGCAATTGTTCAGGTGTCACAAGACAGAAGCAGACCCAGCTGGTTTCCATGTAACGTTTCAGATGGCACGTCTTGTGATACATGCACTATACTAAAACATTGTTTCAAACAAGGTCAGATAAAACCGTGATCTGCTCCGCCTGTTGCGCAATTGTTCAGGTGTCACAAGACAGAAACAGACCCAGCTGGTTTGCCGTGATGTGCTCAGCCTGTTGCACTATTATTCAGGTATCAGAAGACGTGCCAAACACCGAGCCGAAACCTTTGTCCTGCCAAGTTTGTCATGGAGAATATTCTTATCGCCAGCTGTTTATCTTAACTGTAATATTATGTGAAGGCTCCACTCTACAACAGTCTTGGGTCTGACGATAAACTACATCCGGCAGCAAGGCCTCTGATCGAAGATTGGAGATTTTGAGGTGCCTGTAACCACCTGTTAACTGGTGTTGTTCTCAGGTCCACTCTGACCTGAGATAGGAGAACCTGTTAGGGCCCCATCTGCGATAAATAGAAATAGTGAAAACCCATACACAACAAAATATTATGGAAGCATAAAAATACATTTTATAGTAAAATTACCAGCAATATATTCTTATATTGTAACATAACCGACTATACCTATTTAGAGTAAAATTACCTGCAATAGAATTTAATAGAATTTCCAACAATACATTTTATCGCAAAATGACTAGCAATACAACTTATCTGTAGTTAAAGGCATAAAATTACGTTGAAAATATTTAGATTTTGGCATTAAATAATCCCTAGGGGTTTATATGACTCTAAACAACCAAATCCACTCTACAAATTGGTAATAATGGCTGATATAAACTATTCAGCTATTCATATTTTTTAAAAAGAACCTCATTTTGTTCAATTAATTCAGTTGTTTGGGAAAAAATAGAGAGTTTTCGAGAGTGTATAAGTTTATTTGTAATAAAACCTGATATATATGGACTTTGAATTGCTAGCTTTTCAGAGACGCTAAATTAGAATTTTTTTAAATCTATATTTGCAATTCAGTCGTATTCTTATCTAACTTTATTACTGTATGTATGTATGTATGTGCAGCGATATGATAATCAGAATACACTGCACATCAATGTGCAGCATTGGGAAGAAGTGGCATTAAAGCGTACAAAGTAGATAAATTTTATGCGGGAGGAATTCAGCATCTTTGAGGATGGATGGATGTCGCAGACGTTCAGAAGAAACGTGATCCCTTAAAAAGCAGTCACTCTGATTTGGTAAGTAATATGCAGCCTTGGATATGTGATGCGTGTGAGCGCATACTGTTGTCGAGGGCAGCTTAGGCAAATCAACTGAAGGTCATCATAAGAAGCAGAAGCAAGCCGACGATGCTAACCTGCCCCATCGTCCTGCCAAAAAATACCTGTGTTGTTTGCAACAAGATTTGTAGATTATCAGCTGGACTGAGTAGGCAGATAATCACACACAGGAAAGTTGTAGGCCATGCTGATCCAATCAACCCAATCAAGGATAAAGTGTTTATCTGTCATATATATGCATGATCCCTTAGTGGACATGGACGACGAAACTAGGGGGAAGTTATTACAAGCGATGCGAAGGACGATAAGACGGTTCTCACCCGAGTAAGGTGAGGCAATCACCATGTGCGGTGATAGAATTACCTGGGCTGGTATCCTAGTTAACCCACTGGGAATGATGAACCCCAAATCTTTGATAAGGTAACTATCTGGAAGGAGAACTTAGCCATGTTGTTATTAGTCGTGGCGGTGTTGTGCGAGCCATACACGACTAAAAATTCAGCACGCTCGTTGCTGACACGAATTGCTTATTTAGGAGTAGGTCAACTGAATTCAAAGCAGCATGCATCTCAAGAAACAGTACATAAGCCTTATCATATTCCTGTAACCAGTTTAATCTATCTAGTTAGCTAGCTATCCTAATCTGTTCATACGACTATCTATCCATCTATCTCAACCTGTTCCTATCTAGCTAGCTATCCGTTTTTTAATCTATCTATCTATCTATCTATCTATCTTAACCTCTTCCTATATAGACATGTATTCGAGTTTTTTAAAGCTATCTCAGCTTTTCGTATCTATGTATATATCTCAATCTCTTCATATCTATCTATCTATCTATCTATCTCAATCTGTTCATATCTATCTATCTATCTATCTATCTATCTATCTATCTATCTATCTATCTCAATCTGTTCATATCTATCCCTATCTATCTATCTATCTATCTCAATCTGTTCATATCTATCTATCTATCTATCTATCTATATATATATATATATATATATATATATATATAAATATATAAACCTAGTGAGCCAGACAAACCTACCCAGGTTTGTTTGGCTCACTAGGTTTATCTAGATCTGCTCTACGGTTGTATTGAGCTCTTTTGTTAGTTGTTTACTCGTATCGGGGTTTTTTTTTTGGCCTTCAAACCTGCATCTGTGCGATTTTTTTCGATAGACTTTCATGTTTGTAGCTCTTTCTTTTTTTAAAACCTTTTTTTTTCCTCGAGATTGATTTGATTATTGGCATTCGATGGTTTTTTCGAAAAACGATATATATATATATATATATATATATATATATATATATATATATATATATATATATGGATATCCCTTTTATATTTACTCTTTTTCTGTTCATGTTTTCGTTCATTTCATGCTTTGACAATATGCTTTGTTCATTCCAACGCTTGTGTCCTCCGCTGTCAACCGAACTGTCTTAAGGACTCCTTATAACTATTTTTAATGTCGTACCGATTGACCCGCTTTTAACATGTCCAATGAAAAATCACTTCCCATGAGACCCTGGCTTGAATTACATCCGGATAGAACTCTGTAAGTTCTCAGACGAAGACTGAACATTCATTGTAGACAAGTCATGGACTCTTTCTTACACCAGCTAATAATAATGCATCATGTGACATCATCCCGGCGAGATCAGTGGCATCAATTGATAAAAGCCGAACTTTACATCTTTTTACCTTTAATTGGTTGATTAATTCGTTTTTTACGGCTTATCAACCCTTTGTATGTTATTTAAAGTCAGAAAATATTTTTATATTGTAAAAATTTTGTTTTAGATAATTATGGTTTCGTGATACCAATTTTACTATTTAACCCACAGCTGGGGGAAGAGGTGGAGTCATGCCTAATCAGAATTTGATAAAGAAACAAGAAATTATAATGTGGATATAAAGTAGGGGTCAATTCTATATTACATTTAATATATAAACTGATCCCTCACTTTGTGGCCAATTAGTTTCTAGACATTTATATTCCAGAGAATGTAAATAAATCTAAAAGTTATGCCTGTGTAGCTAATCAGTATTTCATTGATTGATTGATACGTTTTCTGTGGCTTATCAATCTTTTGTAGGTTATTTAAAGCCAGAAAATATTTTTAGATTTTACTTCTTTTTTTTATATAATCCAAGATCCATTTAGCAATCCAAGACTTACTAATTAACCCATATCTAGGGAAGGAAGTGGATTCATGCCTTTTCTTTGCGCGGAGGTGAATATAACGAACCCAACAGAACTTAGAACTTCGATTAACACTTCCGAGCCGTTACCCATTACACCAAGCGCACATCCAATCTTGCAGCACCTGCTATTCTCAAGTGGTCACCCATTTAGGTACTGACCAGCCTCGACATTGCTTAACTTCTATTTCTCATTTCGAGCTGTTATCCATTTCACCAACCACACATCCAAGCTTACAGCAGCTGCTATTCTCAAGCGGTCACCCATTTAGTTACTGACCAGGCTCGACGTTGGTTAACTTTGCTGATCGTGTTTCAACGTGATTTGGCTCTAAGCACATTATACGGTATAAAATAAGCACGAAAGAAATGTTAGGAGCTCTCCACACGCACACCATTTCAGCTGAGAGGAAAGGCTTAAACATTAACTGCAAGAAGACAAAAAACATGGTCGTCAGCAAAAAGATGAGTCGAAAGCGCTAATCCTAAATCAGAGGTACGAAAATCAAACATGGGGGGCATTTAAATATCTGGAATGTGTTTTAACAGAGAACGGAAAGAGCGGCATTGAAATCTGAAAGCGTATTGGGACAGCGAAAGATGCCTTTCAAAAGCTAAGCAGAAATAGGATACAAAGCAGGCAGCATAACATGCACAGATAATAATAATAATAATAATAATAATAACATACAACATTCAATTATGACGAAAACGATCCAAAAAGAATATTATAAGAGAGTGCGTTTGATAGTAGAAAGCGAACTTAATGGAGCCAATAAAATGAAGGCAATCAACACCTTAGCTATATCCGTAGTAACATACAGCTTCAATATTATTAAATGAAAGTTGAATGACATTAAAAGATTAGACGCCAAGATCATAAAAATGCTTATCCAAATGAGGATGCATTACCTGAAATGAGGTGTTGATAGGTTGTACGTACCAAGAGTTTTAGGAGGCTGAGGTTTTATCCAACTTGAACTCTAAAAATTACAATCAAATTGGAAGCGTACCCCACCAAAAATGACACTCTCCTACAAATAGTAAAACATTAAATGCACTTCATCAACAAAGAAGCTGCACTCTTCAGGAAGCAGTTTAATGTACCCGAAACCCTACCAACAAAAAACGAAGCGAATACCATCTACCCCAAACGAATAAAACAGAAAGTAACTCAACTTAGCCAAATGAAAAAGAAAACAAGAAAAAACTGTGATGACAAGGCGTTGCATGGCAAATACATAAAAAGAAAGAAATAAGCAGATGTGGACTAACAGAAGACACAACAGTGTCTGAGGAGCACCTGGCTGAAAACTGAGAGAGAAGGCCTAATTATTGCTGTTCAGGACCAAAACCTCGCAACCAGATCCTATCACTGTCACATAATCAAGGATGGAACTAACCCGAAATGCAGGATCTGCGGAAAATATGATGAAACCGTCGACTATATTATCTCAGGATGTCCGGAACTAGCAAATAATGAATATACCCACAGACATAACAAGGTAGCGGCATATGGCCACTGGAAGATATGCAAGAAGCACAAAATCGAAACCACTGAGAGACAGTATGAGCACCAACCAGACACATTTACCCAAAATAACGATGTATCTATCCTCTGGGAGATGCTAATTCAAAGTGACAGGGCAATAGAAGCCAACAGACCTGATATTATCAGAAGTGAATGCTTATTGGCATAGCAGTGCCATCTGTGAGAAACACCTACATGAATATTATCGAGAAATTGTCCAAATACAAGGACCTGGAGATCGAGATTAACAGGATGTGGGGAATGAAAGCTGAAACTGTACCAAGAGTAATCGGAGCTCTGGGCCTCGTGAGAAAAGGAATGAACAATTTTACTAACAGTGTCCTAAATTACATCAGCATAAAGGTTGCCCAGAAGATCGCCCTACTAGGAAGATCCCATATACTAAGAAAAGTGCTATCAATTAAATGATAATTTCCCTATAGGGACTAAGGACCATAGTTTGGACCCGGGTCTACAGGATACAAAGCATTATCTATCTATCTATCTATCTATCTATCTATCTATCTCAGACTGTTCATTATCTATCTATCTATCTATCTATCTATCTATCTATCTATCTATCTATCTATCTCAGACTGTTTATTATCTATCTATCTATCTATCTATCTATCTATCTATCTATCTATCTGGGACTCTTTGTATCTATTTGTATGACTTACGTGGTTGTGTTAATCCCTGTCAGTTTGTCTCTCTGTCTCTATCTACGAAAGCTTTTCTTTATACTTATCTATCCAATGTCGAACTCTTTTTCTATCTATCTATCTCTCTATCTATCTACTTCACTTATGTGAGATATTCTCTCTCTCTCTCTCTCTCTCTCTCTCTCTATATATATATATATATATATATATATATATATATAATGTCCTATGTCAGTCTGTTTATTTTCTTTCTATCTATCTATCTAGCTAGTCACTTCATATCTATATGTCCTATGTGAATGTGTTAGTCTCTCTCACTCTCTCTTTCTCTTTTTCTATCTATCTCAACCTGTTCATTATCTATCTATCTATCTATCTATCTATCTATCTATCTATCTATCTATCTCTTACTTTCTTAAATCATCTATCTATCTATCTATCTATCTATCTATCTATCTATCTATCTATCTATCCAATGACTAAGTAAATAAATAAACAAATAACCTATTTGATTATAAAAGGTTAGGGCGCAATGGGTCAAAGCGGAAATATTGCCGAATGAAATCTGTATTCAGAAATGCACAAGTTCCCAATAAACAATGGCGCCGGACCGGACGAGTTCAGCGATATCGGTCGGCCGTTTTTTTATATTCGGGGATCGAGTGACAAGCAAAGTCTTCCTTCGGTGCACTCCACAAAAGACGACATCGACATTATGTCACGATACGAACATCTTTTGTAATTTATTTCTTTGCGTCGGTTTGAGAGGAATCAAACCTTTTCAATCGTCTCTGACCTCTCTCGGTTCTCCCGCCTTTTTTTTTTTTCATAGCTTTTCGTCTAAACCACTTCCTCTCTGTCTTTTAACCTTTCTGAGAACTATTTACCTATTTCTTACATTTATTTTTTCGTTTATCATTGGAACTGTAAGATTTCATTCTTTATGGCTCTCCACAGCTTCCTATCCTTTGTAGATCTTAGTAAATTTTGTCATTTTCCTAACCCTCCGAATCACTGTTTTGTCATCAAGTTGCAGGAACTCGTTATCTATCTATCTATCTATCTATCTATCTATCTATCTATCTATTTCAGTCTGTTCATATCTATCTATCTATCTATCTATCTATCTATCTATCTATCTATCTATCTATCTATCCCTTTCACTACATATCTATCTATCTATCTATCTATCTATCTATCTATCTATCTATCTATCTATCTATCTCAGTCACTTCATATCTATATGCCCTATGTGAATGTGTTAGTCTCTCTCATTCTCTCTCTCTCTCTTTCTCTATCTATCTATCTATCTCAACCTGTTCATTATCTATCTATCTATCTATCTATCTATCTATCTATCTATCTGGATGTCCATATCTATCTATCTATCTATCTATCTATCTAACTAACTAACTAACTAACTAGCTATCTAGCTATCTCATTATCTATTTTTTTCGTTTATCATTGGAACTGTTATGATTTTATCCTTCATGGCTCTCCACAACTTCCTATCCTTTGTAGTACTTAGTAAATTTTGTCATTTTCCTAACCGTCAGAATTTCTGTTTTGTCATCCAGTGACACAAACTTGTTAGGTATTGTATTTGCTTCTTACCTCAGGTCTTCTTTCCTCTCAATACGACCTGTGAGTATCAAATTCTCTAAGCCCTGTTTCCCCATTTTGTGTTGTAGAAATTTCAACCAATTTTACAAATGACTTTTTTTAATTTACTCTATTCACATTATTCGGACTGCTGCTGTCATCTTTATTGTCAATTATCACGACGTTTCGGTTGTTGTGCGCTTCTTCAGGTGATATTAGTTGGAATTTCGATCGGAAACTTTCCAGTCCACGGAGGGTAGATTGTTATAATTCCACGTGCCATGCCTTTTTACTTATTTTATTTTATTTATTTATTTTTTGATATTCTCCTTGGTAACTCATCTCTCCACGTTTTCGTTCACTCGGTTGTGGACAGGGATTGAACTGACAACTATTTGGATCAAGTCACTTTTAGAATCAATACTGGGCGTGGCACGTGGAATTAGAACAAAATGTGTGTTTGGAAACCCGGCATTGCCCAGCTCTACCTTGGAATCTTTGAATCATTGATGCAGTCAGATGTTCGTTATTCTTTTAAACTTAGAAACACGCAATTTTTCTGACGGGCTTTGCTTTCATTAGAGCACTTCTTAACTTAGAGTAATCTTCTATTCATGCCCGATATGTTCGACCATAATTGTTGCGAGCATTACACCCGGGTTCGAATCTCACCATGGACAATTTTTTTAAGGAGGTGATATCTTGATAATAATCGACCATGGTAGACAATTTACAGCGTTCGGCAGTGTTTGGTGTGTCTGAAAACAATAAAACGGTTTGAACACAAGCCTTGTAAGAGAATTGGTCAGCCGAAACTGTTTGGATGCTTGGCTGTGTTAGCACCAAGTCGCAAGTCATTGTTATTGAGGGCTTGGGCCTACCGGATTCGTTTAAAATGTAGATGCCGCTATTGTAACACTGTATCGTCAGGACTAGCTGATCTATGAAACCCTAATATGCTTCAACACACTCCTATCATTAACCAGCTGAAAACTAATTTTTTACCATAATGGTAACATTACCTGGGGAAATATAATATTAACACCGCAGAGAAATATGTCCATCATACGAATTAGCCAAAGAAGAATGACTCGTGAAGGGGTGGATGGGTTTACACTGGGGTTTCTTGTTTTATGATCAGCTGTGCTGTCATCTTGCTTTTTGTATACAGTAAGGCTTTCGTTATCGCTAAATTGCTTTTGTAATGATCACAAAGTACTGGTAACTTGTTTTCAACCATGCATGCTTAAATTCACTAAAAACTTTTTTCTTTGATCTCTCTCTCTCTCTCTCTCTCTCTCTCTCTCTCTCTTTTATGTGCCGTCTCCCCAGAGGACGTAGGCAATCATGGCTCTCCACAACTTCCTGTCTCTGTTCCGCCGCCCATTTACTCAAGGCCACTATGTATGTCATGCGTTGTTTTCTTCTGTCCATCTTGCCATCTATCTGTCCCGTGTTTATCAATTTTTCCAAGCCCTCTTTCCCCATTCCATGCCTCAGAGACCTCAACTATCTCTTCCTGATGTTATTAGTTTCCTTTTTGTTTCCATTTACTCCAAAAATTCGTCTTTACATGTTCAGTGCACGGTATCCTCAGCATCCTTCTGTAGAACCATATTTCTATTGCTTCAAGTCTTCTCATTTTTGAGGAGATCGTACAACACTCACTGCCATGCAGGGGGACATATACCACGTAGCAGTTTAGTATTCTCTCTTCCTTGTTTCTAGCGAAATTTTCCTTATTTCATTTTTCCCTATTGGAAGATTGTCACTTAATTTTCCTGGTCTTGGTATCCAATCTTAAGTGATAGATCCTGTTTGCAAGGCTTTGGTCCTAAGCTGCAATAATTTGGCCTTCTGCCCCACCTTTCAATACGATGTTCCTTAGCCAGTGAAATGTTTTTTTGTTGGTCCACTTTTTTAGTTCTTTTTAGGTATTTGTCATGCAACGTCTTGCCTTCCCCGTTATTTTTATTTATTTTTTTTTTTTGCAATTTCATTTGTCAAGTTGTTTTGCTTTCTGTTTTAGCACTACTGCTATTAATATACAATGTCCCATTAATATTATCTATAAATCGCTGTTTAGAATCGACCTTTAATAAATCACAAGCCTACATTTCAATTTCCATATTTATGATTTTAATTCAGATGTAAATTGTATTTAATTTCCCGTAATTCGCTTTGGTGTAAAGAGTTACGTTGCTGTTTCCTGCTAAAGATATTTCCTTTAACAATTCAAGATGGCACTGAATAGAAAGGCCGAAGTTTTAGTGAAAAGAAAAAAATATAATAATAAAATAATTAAATAAAATAAAAAAGTAAGAGAAAGATCTCAACAAGGCCAACAGTTGTTTTGGAGGAAATAAAAAAAAAAAAAACCTGAAAATATTGTTAATCTTCTGATCTGCCATATCGGGAACAAATTCTTAATACGAAGGAAGAATATATTTATTTCGACTTTTCCCAATCATGAACGTATAACAGTAAAAGTGACTATATAAAGGGTTTTCCAGTAACTTGGACCGATTTTAAATGTGAATTAAATTTAAGCGACTAATGATTTTTTTTTCTTTTTCTTTCAGTTTTATAACTTAAGTCTTTGGCAATAATTTTTAAGACATTTTTTTATGTTTATACGTTCTTTTTATAGATACAAATATTTAAGTAAATTATCTGTTTATATTAAACAGTATTAACGACATCTACCGGCCTGAATATCCGAGAAATTTTCATAGAAAATATGCGTTCTCCGACAGGAATCGAACCTGCATCCTATACGGAACCGTCATATAGCCTGACGTGCCTTAAACACTCACAGAGGAGCGTTGGGTTAGAAGGTCGATTTTACTGCTTTTAAACTACAATTTTCCATGAATCTCTCACGTACATTCATATCTGCTCGATGCGTATCTAAATGTAAACAAATGACGTTACACATTATGAAATGGACAAAGTCCGACAATTATTTTAAGACATTTTCATGTTTATACATTATTTTTATAGATACAAATATTTAAGTAAATGCTCTGTTTATAATAAATAGTATTAAACAACATTTACCGGCTTGAATGTCCGATAAATTTTCATAGAAAATATGCGTCCTCTTTAGTATGTATAGGATACAGGTTCGATTCCTGTTGGAGGACGAATATTTTCTATGAAAATTTCTCGGACATTCAGGCCTGCAAATGTTGTTAATTCTGTTTATCATAAAACAGAGCATTTACTTAAATATTTGTATCTATAAAAAGAACGTATAAACATAAAAAAAAAATGTCTTAACAAATAATTGTAGGTTTTTGTCCATTTCATAATGTATGACGTCATATTTTTATATTTGGATAGGCATTGAGCAGATATGAAGGAATACGTTCTTTTTATAGATACAAATATTTTAAGTAAATGCTCTGTTTATAATAAACAGTATTAAACAACATTTACAGGCCTGAATGTCCGAGAAATTTTCATAGAAAATATGCGTCCTCCGACAGGAATCGAACCTGTATCCTATACGGAACCGTCGTATAGCCTGACGTGCCTTAACCGATTGGGCCACAGAGGAACGTTTTGGTTAGCAAGGTCGATTTTACTGATTTTAAACACAACTCTCCATGATTTTCTCCTAAAACATGAAAAATTAAATAAAAATCTTAATCTTAGTACCTTATCAGTCGTCTTTAATGAAATTTGTATAAAAGAGGGATTGCTGCCCATATATATATATATATATATATATATATATATATATATATATATATATATATATATATATATTATTTTTAAAGAAAAACAGACCACTTTAAGGCCCCATTAGTTATAATTTATTTCACCAGATAATTTATTTTTCTCTGGATCTTCAGACTTCTCTTTCAAAAGTGAAACGAATAATGAATTTTAAATTTACACTTTTGACGGGTAGTATTAAGCTTATATAAGTTAATATAGAGGGTGGTGAGGAATAGTGTGAGAGACATGGTAGAGTATAGAGAGAGAAGGGAGAGTTTTAAAATTTATTTTTATTATAATACTTAATATTGAGGAGGAAGGGGGTAAGGATCAGACATTGACCTATTTAATCGGTCAACTCAACGGAAATGATATGGGGAAAGGAAAAAGGAGAAAAAGGAGAAAGGGAAAAAAGGGGGGAGTAAAGGGATAATATATAAGAGATGTACGTAAGGTTTTTGGGAGGAAGGGGAGGGTAGTATAGTTTTAGCAATTTAGATAAACACAGATTTTAACGTTTGATAGTAATTTAAGTGTTTGAAATCTCCATAAAGAAATTAAATTTAAAGCCTGTTAGCAATTTAAATATGTAACTTCTACACAAATAAATTAGGGCCGAATATTATATTAAAAAAGAAATATAAAAAAATAAAAAATTACTAATAGTAATATTTTAATATTGTGAATGACTGTTAAGTTAAAATTTTTATCAGTTAGAGTCTAATTCATGATTTTAATTTGTAGCTCTTATTAGATGAGTAATATTTCTTAATTAAAGTTTAGGTTTCAAATCAAGATGAAGTAAGATTTGAAGGTAATATTCAAAAAAATGTTACTGTTTTTTCATTAAGTAAAAACATGAACATACATTCATATACATGTACAATTACATATATAGACACATACACATGTATCGATATACATCGGTATATACGCATATACATATACAAATACTTACATACACAAATACATATATTTGCACGCATCCATCTTTATAAATTTTAATTTTTTTCTTAAATTTTACTGTTAACGTTAGATAGTCAATTAAGTGTTTAAATTTAAAAATATTTCTAATTT